TTACAATTATATGAGAAAATATGCACTTATTCAGACAATTAACTGCTTGGCATGTCTTGTATCAAGTCGATTGTGCTGACATATTCTGCTTTTCAAATCTATTGGCATAGCGTTACAATAGAAATCATATGTATGGAATCTCTATGGGAGACCAGAACGACACCAAGTTCGGACTACCATATAATTCTCATAGATATGAGAAGTATATGGGAAGTATATAATTCAAATACACAAATGGCAAATTCAAATACGCAAATGCAAAATTCGGAGCCAAAAAATATAACAAGTACTAAAACTTCCTTCCAGCAATTAGCAGCATATCTGGGTTTTTGCACAAGCTCCTTATGGGAAATTTCAATAACCAATTCCCTAAAATTCTCATCAGTTGCAATCCTTTTGCATTCAAATGATGTCAGAAAATCCTTTACATCCTCATGATCAATACTAAGAGAGTTTAAAAGTACCCGTTCTATCACATTAGCCTTTGTGGGTTTGAAATATACTTCATGAAAGAATCCAGGTAAATATCCTCACTGACAGATTCTTCTCCGAAGAGGCAAGAGCACAGGAAAACCGTAGAAATCTTAATCAAAAAGTATCGCTCTTGGGTGTACCTTTTTAAAAGAACCCTGGCAAATGCTTGCCACCTCCCCAGGTAACATCATGACGAATAATAGGGACTCTCTCATTTTCACCTAACATGTAACTATTATACACATCATTCCAAAAGAGAGAAAATGCATCCCTGATGATCCCAATGCCTTCAGCTTTTTCTTCCACACCTCTGGCATCAATCATGTTGATATCCACAAGCTTATGTAAAATTGTACTATTTACGAGATAGTGAAGTAAGTCACACTTTACATATTGGACCTATGAATAACTAATAGCTCTCTCTCCAATACTTCATTTGCAACAGTTTGCTCTGATGAAAACTTCACAATTTTCACCTAAAATGACAAAAAAATGGTGAAATAGGATCAAAATTGCACATATTTAGTAAGCTTTCGATTTGCCGGCAGGATGCCTTCCCTATTTCAACATAAATATATTGGCTCACAACTAATCCTTTAGTACTCAAAGTATTTAACCCCTGGGGCCTAATTAGGTGGTAAGGAATATCATAAAAGGAATGGGGGGTGTGGGAACCAAGAAATTACTAGTAAATAATATTGTGTGAGGCTTGTGAGTAGGGTGTGTTACGGCGTTGTCAGTGGCTATACAGACGGGGGATTTTGTTGGTTACGTGGTTTGAGGAATGTTTGGGTTTTAGCAAATCAGGGCGAGTGTGGTTATGTATTAAGTTTATGAATTTCTTCATGGTTCCCACACTGGACTCGTCGTCATAGCGACGGTTGATGTGCACATCCGAACCCAAAGCATTGGTCGACCGAACTGATGGGATTTGAAAGTGTGCGGCATTTTATTTGCCGTGATGTAATTGACGCACACGATTGGTCTGCGACGCCTGCCAATGGGAACGTGTTGCGGTCAGTTGCACTGGAAATATGTGTGAGAGAGGGTATTTGGGGTGATTTATGGGTATGTGTGTTTTTTGAGTATAGAAATTACATCGTTTTTAGTTTGAGTTGAAGATTTATTAAAAAGATTTAGTTATTCTATTTACAGGATTTTTCACCAAAAATTTTTTTTTCTAACATTTTCTCCATGTATAGGAGTTTTTTCTAATTTTTTTTTTTGTTCTTTAATGATGTCTAAGGTTTTCTGACATTCTTCAGTGATGTATTCATAACAACCAAAATGTTTCATGTTGTAAAGTTTTATGTTTTCTTTACTGCGTGTTAGTACAGTCTTTTTCTTTTTTTCCCTTCCGTCCAATGTGTATAGGATTAATTCTTTGGATGTTATGATCTCTTGGTTTTCATTGTCTAGTTTGGATAGGGTTTCGTGACATGTTGGTCTACCTGCACTTCGTTTTTGTGGCTAGCCCGTTCGCGGGCTAGACACATTCATATACCTAGAGTGCAATGTTTGTCGGATGAGCACAAAGTGTAACTCCAGTTGTTCATATAGACCTACGGCGCGTGTTTGTAAACAATATATTAGCAAATATCACTGCGAAGAACTGTTCTTTTAATGCATTAAAACGTCGCTTTTGAGCCAGAGACTTTTCGGATCTTAAAATTTAAAGGTAAGTAAGCTTTTTTCTTGTAAAAAAGCATCCTCAAATGCTGTCTGTGTGCTTCAATTAACCCACCATGCCGCACTTGTCAGGGGAAGAGCTTGCAAATATGTCTCAAACTCATACTTCTCAAATACGCACCCAAATTCACTCTACTTTTGTAGTACTTTGTTGTTTAATCTGTGTTACACTATGCCACATTGGTTCAGTGTGCAATGTTTCTTTTACTTTTGTTGTCGCTTTTGTCTTAGTGTATATACTTTTGTCGTGGTTTACTGGTTTTTGTTTTTATAAATATAATTGTGTATAAAATTATGCCAGATTGACAAGGTGAGAGCTTTCAAATATGAATATATCTTGTTAAACTGCTACAATGCACCCGAATTGACCCTACATTGTTGTTTTAATCTAGTATGTATAAACGCCAGACGATTAACCAAACATCTGCTAATACTTCTTGTTATCCCACAAAGTTGCAATATATGCAAAAAATTATGCCCCAGATAATTTTACTCTATAACACTAGACAATTTTACTTGTAGAGCCAGTTGTTCAAATCAGGATTAGTGCTAACCCTGGGTTAAAAGTCAATTACCCAAGTGCTATTTGGTTTGTGTATTTCTATATGCCTGTGTCTAATGCCAGACGATTTTACTTTACTTGATTTTACTTTAGGTATAGCCTGCGAACAGGCTGTCTTTGAACTCTCTTTCAATTCAAAGAGCCTGTTCACAGGCTAGGTTAGGTATGGTAATCAAGATTCAGCTGAAGGGTTTTTATAGTTGGTCATTGCAATATATGCCGAAATGCACCCTACTTTTTTCTTTTATTTTGTCTAATGCCAGAAGATTTTACTCAATAACACTTACCTAGACAATTTTACTTCTGCAGCCAGGTGTTCAAAGCAGGATTAGCACTAACCTTTGGTTAAAATTCAATTACCAACTATTTTGCAGTGGCAAACACTAGGGAGGCGAAGGGCACCCCCCCCCCCCAATATTTTCTCTAAGCCTTTGAATAATAGCTGATTAACTGTGTAACAAAATTGTATCAATGATTTTACTATCATAAAATCCTTGATAGGCTATTGTAAGTGCATGATATTTAAGCCAAAAGAGTTCTAAGAATTAAGATTTGCGGCAACAAATGGGTGGTTATATTTTGGTAACCTAAGCCTCCAAAGTAGTTATACATGTATTTTCTCTGTAATTTTTAGAAGATCTATTGTGAAGAGTTGCCGACATTTCCGAACCAACGTGTTTACACTGATCAATTTCTAAAAATATGTTATTTTATGTT